AGTCAGGTTAAATGAGGTCCTGAGGGTGGGGCCCTGATCCAATAGTGTCAGCGTCCTTATAAGAAAAGACATCAGAAAGTGTTCTCTCTCTCTCTCTCTCTCTCTCTCTCCCTCCCTCCCTCCCTCCCTCCCTCTCCCTCTCCCTCTCCCTCTCCCTCTCCCTCTCCCTCTCTCTCCCTCTCTATCTCTGCCTAGGGTATCATTGTCACCCAGGGGACATGAAGGGCAAAGCATCAAGCCAAAGGATTATTCTCAAGCCTTAAAACTGAATGGAATTGGTCCCACTAGGACTTAGACTTGCTTAGGAAAAACCACCTCCTTCTTTCTTGACATTTCTCCCTTCTGGAATGTGTCTCCCTGTGTTTCTCATGCCAATGCATTTTGGAAGCATAGAACTTGTTTGCTTTCACAGGTTCACATCTAGAGGGGAATTTTGCCCCCAGATGAATCTCATACCGGGAGTCTCACCCATTCCTGATGTACAAACTCTTTAGATGAAATCTTAGGACTTGAGACTTTAATGTCAATGCTGGAATAAGTTAAAACTTCTGAGACTGATGAAATGAATGTGTTTTGCCATGCAAGAAGAAAATGGCTTGGAGAAAGGGGCAAAGTGGTACAGAATGGATGTTTGGGTCCCCCAAAATCATATGCTGAGCCCTAATCATCAATATGGCTGTTTTTGGAGATGAGACCTCTAAGGGAAGTAGCTATAGTTAAATGAAATCATCAGAGTGGGTCTTTGTTGTCCTTAAAAGAAAAGACAGATACTGATAAGCTTGCTCTTGTTGCATTCAAAAAAAGGAAGCCGTGGGACCACACAGCAATGAGACCCATCTTGCCAACACCTTGATCTGGGGCTGTCAGCCTTTGGAACTGTGAGAAAATAAACTTCTGTTGTTTAAAGCCACACAATCTGTAATCTATGGCCATTTGAGCCGAAAAAGACTATGTTGGGGGGGGGGGGCGGGGGAAAGGTTGAGAATATGAATGAAAAACATTTTCCAGATTTTTTTCCCTGACACTTCTGCCCTTTAGACAGTCACTTCCTGTCTAAAGTTCACCCCTGATCATTTCACGGGTTCACACACTCAGCCCTCTATTCCAGTTTTATGCCCTGACTGGTGTCATCTGGGATCACTCACAGTGCCAGGGCGGGGCAGAGAAAGTGCAACACCAAGGTGAGCCGTGTCCCCAACCAGGAGTGCAACATTAAGTTGAGATTGTATCATGAAAGCTGGAAATGGTTAGAAAACAATAGGAGACAAAATATTCATAAACCCCTGCATGGACATTTCCAGTGCTGTAACCACAGTGGACTGCAAAAGCCTGAGAGGACCTCCAAATGCTGAAAGTAAGAAACATTTCAGCTGAGATAGGATTTTAGAGACAAATGGAGTGAACTTGACTGATTTAGAAACAGGGTCTGGCACTAGTGGTGCACACAGGTATGAGGAGGACAGAATGCCCCACCCTGGAGGGAAGCAGTCACACCAACTGGAGCTGTCCTTCCCAGGACCAAGTGTGCACCATGCAGTACCCAGCACCGTGGTCTTACAGCTGGCAGCTGCGTCCCAGGCCCCCTGGAGACAGCTGGGTTGGGGGACACTCACCAGCAAAGTCACCACGCTGTTTTGCTCAGTTTGAGGCTGTCTCTGCTCGCCAGAGGTCCTTATCACTCTCTGAAGAGCACAGCCCACCTGAAGTCCCATTGGCCTATGTGCTTTACCAAGTGGAGTGAGCCAAAAAGCCCTCATCTGTGGAAATGCTGAAATCCAAAAGGAAATGTGATTTGTTCTGCTTCAGCATTTCCTCAAATGATGCCATTAGAGAATGGCTGTGGCTCAGGGCTAATTAGTTCAGAATGGGTGCAAAGCATCCTGGGATACAGACCTGGAGGGTGTCCAGGGACCATGGGGCCTCTGTGTGCAGCGTGGCCCTTCTCAGGATGACAGTGCACATTCAGTCATGTTTCGTTAGCAATGGTACTGATCCAAACCCAGAGGAAACTAAGCACTTGAGGGGTCTCCAGAGAGTCCCGCTTTTCCTCAGTACGATCTAGTCACCATGTCAGCATGAAGGGTCTGAGTCAAATCTGTTGGGTTTAAGTTCTGTGTCTGCCACATTTGGGCCATGTAATTTGGCTCCATTGCTTCACTGATTTAAAAGGACAATATCAGTGCCTCCCTTGTGAGGATTAAATGGGGCAATGCATATGTAGGACCCAGCACTGGGCATGGCACATATAAGTCTCTGCTATTGCTGTTTTGGTATTTCCCCATCTCTAAAGGAAGCAGAGCTGTCCTTAGGTTTCCAGAGCACAGCCAGTTAACACATACTCTCTGACATTTCTTGGTGGTTTGGGGACAGCTTATTCTGAGGGCCTTAGGGAGCCCTATCCAGCAGACACACAGTACCGTTGGACATTCTCATCACCCTTGGACATGGAGAAACTTGATTTTGTAAAAAATAATTGAAAGCACCATTTAGATGGAGGAGGCCCCTTCTTGGTGAGGCCCAGGGACAATTATGAGACTCTTGTCTACTGACTGGCCCTGTGGACATTCATCCCTGACCACAACGCTGTGATCTGGACACCCAAGGAAAACAGATCAACACTTTCCTCTTCTCATTCAAATTAAGAATTAGTTTCCTCCAAACCAAGAAGTGGAAATTAACCAAATTCATGCCTCTGTGAAAAACAGCCCCTCTTTTACAGTATGAAGTAGAAGGACAAGATGCAGGGGGCAGCCCCCAAAAGATACATTGGATCTGATGACAGTGACCATATTTGGAAAATAGGTCTTTGCAGGTGTAACCATGTTAAGAATTTTGAGATGGGCTCATCCTGGATTACCCGGGTGGGTCCTAAGTGCTTTGATAAGTGTATTTATAAGAAATGAAAAGGAAAAGACACACACATAGGGGAGAATATCACAGGAAGACCAGCAGAAATTGGAGCAATGTGGCCCAAAGCCCAGGAATTCCCGGAGCCACCAGAAACTGGAAGAGACAGGAGGGATCCTGTCCTGCTGCCTTGGGAGAGAGTGGGCCCTGCTGACCTGATCTTGGGCTTCAGCCTCCAAAGCTGTGAGAGAATAAATCCCTGTTGTCCAGATTTTCCCAGTGGCTCCAGGACCCAGCACACAGGGTATCTGGGGAACATAGACTGTCCTCTCTGGACCTCAATTTTCAGGACATAAAAGAACAACCTAAAGCAACCTCCAAGTCTCTACAATTTCATGTCTCTGTGGCTTCACACCAAATAGCCTGGGTGGGAGGAGCAGCCAGGGAGATCTCAAGTACACAGTGGTGCCCAAAAAGCCAGGGCTTGCTCTCTTTCCTCTCCTCCCAGCATCAAACACAGTTTGTGTGGCATCTGTCCTACATAGGGTTTCCATATTTACTTAAGGTGCATTTGAAAAGCAACAAGCACTCGCCAGCACAGCTACAGTAGTTCAGGGAAAGGCCCAAGAATCCCAGAGGATGCATCCAGAAGAGACAGCACAGGCCCTCCCTCTCTGCTGCCCACCTTTACTGCCTACTGAGGACTTGGGAGGGGAAGAAGCATCAGATTATTTTTGCAGCAGGTGGTAGCACTATTTTCACATGGATATGTTTTATTGCATAAAATGGGATTTTAAAAAACTCTTTATCTCTCTTATCTTTTTATATCAGAAATCTGTATATATCTGCTTTCATGCCTTGTACAATATCAAAATATACCTTTTAGAAATATGAAAACCCAGCCATCCCCCAAAATGAACTGCTTACCCACCTTATGGATACACTGATGGTTTGATTTGGCCACATAATGGTTTTGTCAATGCAGCAAAGACTGAGGGAAAATACATGATAAAAGTAATAGTTACAAGCATCATTTTTAGCACCTGCCAAGTGTGCGGCACTGAGCTAAGCATTTAGGGAGAACCGATTCATTCACTCCTCACAAAAACACTATCAGATGGAAATAAAAAACGGGGCTCAGGGGGTTTTGAATGACTTGCCCAAGCTTAGAGGTTACAGAACCTAGACTCCTAGCAGGTTTCCCTGCTCCAAAGCCTGTGACAGTCACGTCGCTCATGTTATCCCCAGTGACAAGTCATGGGACCCCACATTTAGGCAAAGGTAATGTTTTAATCACAGGACCTGGAGTGGTTGGAGGAAGGGTGACCACAAAGCCACGCTTTCTGGGCTGTGCAGCTTTGTTGCCATTCATGCACTGCTTTTACAGAGATGTGGGCTGGCTTTAGGACAGCTCAGTAGGGGAGATTCCAGCTTGGTGTGTACACTTCTGTGTGTGCATTTGTGTGTGTGTGCTTGTGTGCGTACATCTATGTGTATACATGCATGTACCCGTATCTACATATGCACACCCGTGTACATGCATTGTGTATTATGGGTGCATGCATATACTTACTTGTATGTACACACGTTTTGTGTATATGCACATGCTGTGTGCAATGTGTGGTCTGTGTGTTCATGTGTACATTTGCAGGAAGGTGAGAGAAGACATTGGGACGTGAGCTGCAAAGAGCTGTTCAGCCTGGAGAGTACCCTGTGAGATGTGCCCACTAGTTAAAAACTGGTTCTGTGATACTGAGAAGAAAGTGGTGGCCAGTTGTCCAACATGTGCAAATCCTCCCTCCCCTATCAGGATGCTTTCAATCAATGTCTACCTGAAAGACTACTGCTCTGAGACAGGAGATGGGGGGGAAGGAATTGAGCACCATTCCCATGCTGAAGTCTCTTGACCAGGCACAGGTCTGGATTTCTGCCATGGGTGTCACTGGGGGTTAATCACAATCAACTCCTTCCTGAGGCCATTGGGCAAAGCCATACAGACAGCAGTCACATGCATGTGACGGTAGGAGGTGCTCTGTGAGGGGCATCCTGGATGCCTGCATGGGGACAAGGCTAAGAAGGAAAGGACACAGAGCAGTTGTCCACCAGCTGCTTCTGCTCACACATCAAAGAGCCCTGGTGCTTGTGTCTTTCAGGAATTCGCTGACTCCGTGTCCCAGCTGGTCACGCAGAAGTTCCGTGAGCTGACGGTTGGCCTGACATCTGTGCATGCCCGCCACAAAGCACTAGCAGGCATCGTCATGACCAAAGGTAACCACCTCTTCTTCTCCCTGTGGAGATTTTCTTCTTCAAAGAAAGGAGTGTTCGAGTTTTCCTGACTTGGGGGCCAGCAGATCCCCTGTACCCACAGAGATATGGCAAGAAAGACAATATGGAACCAAGAAATCAGGGGCCAGCACTTACCAGCAGCACCCCACGGGCAGTAGTGGCACAACTCACCTGCCAGGGCCCATCTGCATGAGCTCCTGTCAGTCCCTTGGCTGTCAAGGCCTTGGCTGATCTGTCCTATTAGGCATGTCCCCATTTTCAAGAATGATGCTGTATTTGTAAAAGCTGGAGTCTGAGGCCAGACCAGGCCACCAAAAAAGTCACCTGAAGCTGATAGGTAAGGAGTTGGCCCATCCCTGTCAGCCCCAAAGTGCCCACAGCCAGGACCTGATGCTTCCCCTTGTGCAGGTCACGTGTGTCACCATAGGTCTTGGCTCCAGGGCAAGGAGGTGGAACCCACTTGGACAAGGGAGGTGGAGGTGACCTTTCAGAAGGATGTCAATTGTCAAGTTGTCTGTTTCCCATGGCTATGGCATCTATAGGCCTGTCTGAATGCAGACTCCATGCATCAGTCCATGGTGGGTGAATAGAAGAAGGGAAAGGGGAAAGGAGGGGACATACGAGGACACCATGGAGCAGGAAACCAAGAGGGGACTTAGAGGGACAAAGGGGGACACTAGGGAATAAGGGACACAGAAAAGACACAAGGGGCTGTGGAGGAGACAAAGAGTAACACAGATGGGACATAGAGGGACACAAGGAGGACATAGAGAGAACACAGGGGGAGGGGACACAGGGGAACGGAGACCAAAAGCAGGGGTCACAGAGGATATGGGGGAAACAGAGAAGATATGGGGGAGATTCAGGGAGAGACACAGGAACAGGGGAGGCAGAGGGGACCTAGGAGGATGCAGAAGATGCAGAGGGACACAGAGTGATACACGGGGACACGGGACACAGGGGACACCAGAGGACACAGGGGGACATGGGGAGACATGGAGGAATGCACAGAGACACAGGGTCACATCGCAGAGAATCTGCCCTCTTGCTGGGGTGTAAACCTGCCCAGGAATTTCCCCCTTTCTATCAAGTCTCCAACCCAAACTGATCCCAGAGATGGAATTCCATTCTAGAAAACAAGACTGACCCGTCCAGGGAGGTCAGCTCTTTAATAAGGTCAGGAAAATTAATCAGATTCGTGGAAATATCAAAGTACTAACCTGTAGTCATTAACCAGCTGGTTATTCAAATTAACTATTTTTATTTCCAAAGTTTTACCTGAGTTTTAATGGACTGCTAAAAAATGACTTTGGGTCGTTCAACACTCACACATGACCCTGCAGCACAGGCAGAGGCCAGGACTGAAAAGAACATGTATCTACCGTGTCCAAAGATATGCAAAATCAGTTTTAAAAATCAGATGGTTGGCACGTGTTTCCTGTCATTCTAGACCCCCGTGGGGCCTCTCCAATGAGCAAGAACATTGGAGCAGGAGAAGAGCGCTCAGGACCCTGTCTTAGCCGTGGCACAGGGCATGTTAATGATTTAGTCTTTCCAGTTCAGGCCTCTTAGTAAAATGGAACAGCAAAGCTTCCTCCCAGTGTCACTTGTTGAGAAAGACAAAGTGTATAAAATGTTCAAAAGGTGAACATTACTTTATAAATACAATGCACTGGTCTAAGCCAAAACTGTTCCGTTTTGTCAATGATAACATTGTATGTGGTGACATGCACACCACCCAGAATATTGCATTTTCTTTTTTCTTACTGGGGAAAAAAATTATATATATATATAATTTATATATATATGCCTTTTACCTGTTTGCCAAGTCATTTAGTCCCTGAATCATAGTTTCTGTGGATGGGACCTACTTCTGTCCCTGACTAATCCCTCAGAAACGTCTGCCCGTAGGAGCTATGACATCTGCTTCTAGTCTAGACCCACTGTCTTCTTCAATGTCCTTCTTCTCTTCTGTTTTTTTTTTCTTCCTTGTGTCATTGTACCCTTGGGGGGTAGAGTGGGGGAGTCCTTTTAAAAAGTGAATAGGAGATGAATTTGAGGAATAATCACATGCTTCAAGATGCCTTGAACTGGTTCTCATACTACCTTAATAGTTGCTCCACATGAGAAATTTTAAGCTCAAAATTATTTTCTCTCAGTATTTTGAAGTGGTTTTTTTCCATTGTCTCTTATCTAATAAATCTGTTGAGAAACATTACAGATCTGACTCTTTGCAGGGACCAGCACCCACCAAGGAAGGAAAGGTCTTTTTTTTTTAAACTTGGGCATTTTGTAGTTTCCTAAGAATACACGTGGGTATCAGCCTTTCATCTTCCCTGACATATTCAAGCTGCTTGTGTATTTTTTTCTTGTATCAGTTCTTTGACAAATTCATTCCTTCATACACATTTTTGTTGAATTTTCAATATTCTGAACTAATCAACTAATCATCTTTTCCCTTTTTTACTTTCCGTCTCTTTGGTCTTTTGTTTTTGCAGATTTCTTTCTTTTTTTTTTTCTTTTTGAGAGAGAGAGAGAATTTTTAATATTTATTTTTTAGTTTTCGGCGGACACAACATCTTTGTTTGTATGTGGTGCTGAGGATCGAACCCGGGCCACACACATGCCAGGCGAGCATGCTACCGCTTGAGCCACATCCCCAGCCCCATAGATTTCTTAATTTATCATAAAGATCTTCCATTGTACCCCCTAATTCTTGCAATCTATTTTTTTATTCAAGACTCTCCTTAATCTCAGGGTCCTCCTTTTTCAAGGATTACTCTTCTTGTTTTGTAGATGTGATGTCTTTATGCATTTCTCTGGGGAGACTCACCAGCAAACGTCTAAGTTCTCTTCTGTCCTCTGATTGGTGTGACTCCTCTGGGACTCATGGCTCTTTCTTATCTTCAGTCTTGCTCTTTTATCCTGCTTATGGTTTTTGTCTGAATATTTGTACTTGTGAATAAAATATCCTATCAATGGTCCTAGACCCCAGGCACAAGTTTCCTCTGCCTTTGTGCAGGTGGACCAAGTTTCCCAGCAGGCCCGGCCACATGAAAAGACTGGCTGGCATCCCAGGTCTGGTCAGCTGCTGCCCCCTCAAGCTGGGTGAGTGGCAGTGAGCCTCTTGTCACCAAATGAGGAATGTTCTGCTCTGTGAGACAATCCTTCCATCAAGTCCCCTCACTTTTCTCAGGCAGTTCCTTCCATTCCTTAACCATGAGATTCTTCATTTCTCATCCTAAGAGAAAGCTTCAATTCTCAGGTGTCCTCTCCAAGGAGCATTTGGCCAATGGGGGCCACCATATGCTAGAGCATCATTCAATGCATCCTGCTTTCGGGTCTGCACTTGCTCCTGGCTTGAGGACCTGCAGACTCTGAGCCTGAAGCTCCCTAGGTTCAGCCTCAGAGACGGAGCTTCCTCTTCCCGGCAGCTGATATTTGGAGCTGTTCTCTCCATTTCAGCCTCTGCAAACTCCCACCCATTTTACATCTTCTAGGAGACTCTGAGAAGCTCTCCAGCCATCTCCTGATCACACCATATTTCAGATTTATTCCCTTTTGGGGATGTTTCATTTCAATGGGTTCCAGAAAGGGAGAAGAAAACACAGTTGTTGTTCATACTCTTGCACTGACACTGGACAGCATTAGTGGGCTCCGCGGTCAAGGAACAGTTTTGTGAAGAAAGTCCAGTATTTCCATGAGAAAGTGGTTCTTGAAGGAGTCATTGGTGATGGTAACTTTATTTGATATGCACATTTATCATTGTGATAGTATTTTCACACACGTCAATCAATTTGATTGACACAACCCTGGGAAGTGGGAAAAACAGGGCTTTTTGCTGTCACTTTGAAGAACTATAGACAATAAAACCAAGAGGCTAAGTAGCTTTCCTAAAGTCATAACAGTAGGAGGAAGGGCAGAACTAAGATGTGAGTTGTGGAGTCCTGATCCTTTGTGGCCTCTGGTCTCCTTTAGACACATACATCAGGATTTGGGGATAACAATGCATGTTCTTTATGTATAAAATTATTTTTCCAAGTTTATTAAACAAATAGGAAAAAAAAGAGTTTTCTAGTATACATTTCCAGGAGATTATGTTTAAACCTTTGTTTTGCTAGCCTGGCCTGCAAAACATATTTAGAAGCTCTGGTTTTCACAAATAATATTTCCTATTTTTGCTAATGTGAAGCTTTCATCATTCCATGAATTCTCTGGATTTTTAAGTGTCCTGGAAAATAATACACACCTCTGAAAAACAGCCTGGTCAAGTTGAAATTCACTAAAACGTTTCAGTGTAATTGCTGAGAATGTTAAACACTCTGGGTAACCACCAGTCAGGTCTTATTGGAGGAAATATGAAAGGAACAATTCATTGAACAAGAGTCACTCATTTTTGCAAGTTCTGAAGTGAAGAGTGTGGTTTGCTGGGTGCATTTGCCCTGGACCTACCCTGCGCACACGAGGTAGTTCGTCTCTGCACCATACTCTCAATGCTTCCAGCTTGAGTCAAGAATCCTGTTGCTGTGCTGAACCAGATAAAGCTGATATGTAAATGCTATTTTCCCATTGCACTTGACAAAGCATAACAGTTTAAGTACAGTTGAAGCCTGTTTTCATCATATGTCTAGTGTTTGTGTCTGCTCACCTTCATCAGCACCTAGAAGAATCCAGATAAAGTAGTTTACTCCCCAACATCTCAAAACCTTCCTTTCCATTTTCTTCTCTGAATGACTATCAATCACCTCAATCTTGAAATTAAAAGCAGAATATTTTTATTTATAGTCAGTCGAGCCTGAGGAAGATAAACCGAAACAAAGGTACCAGACAAAAAAAAAAATCCCCTAACAGAAGCTTCACACCATGTGAAAGATGGTAAATTATCAACTGGGTTTCCAGGAATTGATCTTAGTAACTGCTAAGTAGATACAAAGAAAATATGAAGTAGATGACACATCTCCATGGATCTGTGCAGGCACATT